ACGTCTACTATTGTTTTGTTTGCGCTAAACGCTGCAGCTATGCGGATCTTCCAGACACGCCAGGTGGGTAAAGCTTGGACGAAGAAGCTACGCCGCCGTGTTCTGCTCAGCCTGGCGCATGGAAGGCCATTCTACGCAGTGCCTCGCGCATTCTCGATGGCAGAAGATCGGCGTCGGCCAATTCGTCGCCGCGGCGCCACTGGGATCAACTTGGGATCTTGGGCGCCAGTTCGCAGCTGAGGCGGCCCGACTAGTTTGCGAATATGGTTGGCGCGCGGTTTGGTAAATCCTTTTGTCAACGGCGTGGGGGGGGGGGGGTCAGGGTCGCCAGCGGGCCCGATTGAAATCCACTGCGAGCGATTGGGGCCGCGACCGATTCATGGTTGAGCGATCGACGCGACGTCAGGAACCACTGCGCGCGCCGACGCCGCGCGAACATGCCGCGGCACCAGCCGTTGGAAACATTAGCGCGGCACTGCGCGTGCAGGCGGTGCATGTCGGCTTCGCAGCTCGACCCCCTTCCGCAGCGCCCGGGCCCCCGCGGGGCGGCGAAGGGTCAGCGCGACAACGGGCAAATTGCCCACCCGCGCCTGATCGCCAGGGAGATCGAGGCGAAGCGCATCCAGCTTTGGCGGGCAACCATGCAAGGCGACGCCCAGGGCACGGGCACCTGAGCGAGCTCGCTGGAGAGGCCGCCCCCGGCCATGATCAGACGAGCGCCGCGCCCCCCCTCAGGGTCGCGCTCGCGCCGCCCGTCTCGGCCACTGGAGATGATGGCGCCGCGGACGCAGCGCGAGCTGCGCGGCGCGCTGGCTGCTGCCCGTGGGGCGGCGCCGGCGATGCACGCGGCGGTGGGCCTCTCGCGGCGCGCGGCGGCGTCTTGCCGCCCGCTGCGCGCCGCCGCAGGGGCCTGCCGCGCGGCGGTGGCGGTGCTCGAGGCCGCGCGGCTTCGCCCGCCAGCCGCGGCCCCGCCGCCTCGCGGGGGCGCGGCCACAGCGGCCCCCGCCGCGCCCGTGGCGGCCGAGCCTTCTGCAGGCGACGCCGCGCCTCGGAGGCGCCGCCGCTGCCGCGCGCGACGCGACGAGCCCATTGCCAATGGCGCTGCCCACGCGGCGGCGGACGGGGGGGAGGTCGGCGCTGGCGCGCGCGCCGACGCCCCCGGCGTCGACGACGAGCGGCGCCCCCGGCGCGGCGGCGATCGCGAGGGCGGCGGCGGCGCCCGCGGAGGGGGCGGCGACGGCGACGGGCGCGGTCTCGCTCGCGGCGGACCCAGCGTTGGCGGCGCTCGCGTCCTGCGGCGAAGCTGCGCGGTCGGCGAGGAGGGCGGCCCTGGCTTCGCCGCCGAGGCCCCCCCCCGACGACGCCCGCGCCCTCTTCTCGGCGCCGCCCCAACGCACTAATGCCACGCGCGCGTCGCACTCCCCAGGGCGACGCGCGCGCCGAGGAATCTTATCTCATGGCATATGCGTCTCGGCGCGCGCTTTCTGGCCATGCCGCTCGGGAGACGACGCGTTGCATGATGGGCATGCTGCGCGTTCGGGTCGGACGCGCGCCTCCGCGGACACGCGGCGTTCGCGCGTCTCTGCGCGCCCCGTCTTCCAGGCGGCGGGCGCCCGCGACCTCTCCGGCGACGAGACAGCGAGCGGCCGCGAGATCGCCGCCGCGGCCACCGCCCCCCCCCCGGGCGAGGAAGCCGCCCGGGCGCGGGGGAGGGGCGCAGCGGGGGCGGGGGCGGTTCCGATCTCGCCGTTCGCGCGCAGGGTCGGCCCCCGCCCCCCTCCGCTCACGGCGCTCGCCTTCGGCGTGCACCTGGTGGCGGCCCGCTGAGCCGTTGTCCTCCATTCCCTAGCGGCTAGGGTCCGTTCCCGCGGGTTCTCGACCTTGACAGGCCCCTAAGTCAGATTTAAAAATGTTTGTTTGTTGTTGTATAGATGCTATTTTCTGTTATTTTCTCTCTGTCTCTGTCTCTGTCTCTCTCTCTCTCTCTCTCTCGCGTGTGATTGTTATTTTGTTTTTTTTTCGTCCGTGTTGATTAACTATTTCTCTTTTTTTTTATCTCTCTCTCTCTCTCGTTCTTCGCTTCCCTTCTTTCCTCTCATAGTATATTATCTCTTCTCTTCTCTTCTCTTCTCTTCTCGTATAGTACCTTATATTCTCTTCTCTTCCCTTCTCGCATATTATCTTATCTTCTCTTCTCTTCTCTTCTCTTCTCTTCTCTTCCCTTCTCTCTTGTATTATCTTCTCTTCTCTTCTCTTATATGTTCTTCTCTTCTCCCCTCTCTCTCTCTCTCTCTCCTCTCTCTCTCTCTCTATGTATATATGTTCCTCTTTCTCGACTCTCTTCTTCCTCTTTTTCTTATTATGTTTCTTCGTCTGATTTTTCTTTTTTTCTTCTTATTATTATCAGTATTATTATTATGTTATCTCTCTCTCTCTCTCTCCCTCTCCCTCATTTCTTTGTTTGTTCTTTCCCCGCCCCCTTTTCTGTTTTTTTCGTGGGGTCTCGTGCGAGGGCCGCTGGGGGGCTGGCGCGCAAAGGGGAGGGGGGGGGCGCCGCCGCCCGCGCGGCGCGCGGCCGTGTTCTCTTGCCGAGCTCGGCCACGTGGGGCGCGGGCGGGAGCGCCGCGACGGGGCCGCGGGCCCCACGGGAACGCCCGCACTTGCCGGCGCGCGCGCTGGGGACCCAGACATCGGGCGTCTCGAAAAAATCGAGGCACAGATTTTTCATAGTTTTTTGCCTTTCGGGGCCCTCGCCGGGCCTCGGGACCTTCGAAAAACGACTCGGGATGAAAAGCTGGCCCCAGGCAAGCGGTCGGGAGGTCGGGGGCCCGCGTCTCGAAAAAATCGAGTCGTCGGATGTCTGGGGAGGGCGTCGGTCGTCGTCGCCAACCGCTTACCACCCGCGCCTTTCCCGCCCCCCCCCTCGTTGCCCTGCTCGTGCGTGCGCCGCGCTGCCCCCTCCGCGCCCCCGCGGCTTCCGCGGCCCAGTGCCCCCGCGCCACTGGGGGCACCGCGCGCGCCGGCCGCGCCGCCGCTCGCCCGCCGCGACAGCGCGCCCCGCGGCCGGGTCGCCCGACGGCGCCCCGCGGCCGCGGCCCGCGGCCGCAGCGACCGCGACCGCAGCCGCAGCGGGGACCGCAGCCGGAGCCGCGTCCGCAGGGGCCGCGACCGCTGCACGGGCGGGGGCCGCAGCCGGAGCCGCGGCCGCCGGAGCGGCGACGGCGGCCGCGCAGCCGCGCGCGCCGCGGCCCCATGCAGCCCGACGCCGGCGGCGGCCAGCCACCCGAGGTCAGGTGGCCGCGGCCCGCGCCGGCAGGAGGGCTTCACCCCGAAGGCGGCGGGCGAGCCACTTTCGGACGGAGTCCCGCCAGGGCCAGGGGGCGGGGAAGCGCGGTCGCACCTGGGGCAGCAGCTTCCCGCGCGCGGGGCGGCCGCCGGGGCGGCGCGCGCGTTCCCAGGCTGGGCCTTCCATGGTGGGGTGTTCCCCGGCCCCGCGAGGGCCGGGGCCCTTGGCGGCGCGCTGCAGCAATGGAGCCCGAGGGCCAGATTCCGACGCCGCAGGGCCGCGTGCCCCCCGCGCACGGTGAGCCCGCTGGCCTGGCGGCGCGTCGCGCGGCGGGCGCTCTCTGCTGCCGGGGGCCGCAGGCGTGGCGAGCCCAGGCTTGGGCCGGGCTGATCGGGCGGCGCGGCGGCGACGGGGGGTCGCCCGCGGTGCATGGGCGCGGCATTCGGAGACATGGAAACGCCCGCCTGCCCCCCCGCCTTGCCCTGCCGTCTCGCCCCTCTATTCCCCCACTCCCGCCTCCCCTGCTGCGCCTCGTCGCCGGCGCCGTTGTCTGGGCTCCTGCAGGTCGCCGCCGCCAGGAGAGGCTGGGGGGCGATCCTGGCGCGCGTGCCCCGCGCAGTCGCCCGTCGCTCCCTGGGGCGTCGGCGTTTCCAGACCGCGCGTGGCGCTAGCCCCCGGCCGCCCCCGTCGGCGCCGGGGCGGGGTCGGGGGCGGCGGCGTGGCCTCGAGCGGGAGGTGCAAGGCTTGACCGCCGGGGCCACGCGGGCGCCGGGGAGGCGGGCGGTCCACGCTTCCATGGCGAAGCGGCGGGCGCATCGCGGGGGTCGCTTCTGACCCCGGCGGCGCGTGGCTCGGCCGAACTCGGCCACGCGGGGCGCGGACGGGGGCGCTGACGGAGGCGCGCGCCCATGTAGGGGAGGGTCGCCCTTCCCGCCTTTCCCTTTTTTTCTTTTCGTGGGGGGCTCGGGGGAGGGCCGCTGGGGGGCGGGCGCGCCGGGGGGAGGGCGCCGCCGCCCGCGCGTCGCGCGGCCGATTTCCAGCCGAACTCGGCCACGCAGATCACAGAGACCCCATGCCTGGACGGTTGTGCACTCGCGCGGTTCCTTCCCCGACCTCGAGGGCCTCCAACGACGGCTGGGGCGCTGTCTTTCGCGCTCTCGAGATTCAGAGCGGCAGCGGGGGTCTAGTGCAGAAAACTAGGTTCAGGAGCACTGGGAGCAGTCATGTCCATGCTCCAGACGTCTGAAATCGGCCTGCGTCTCGAGCCATGGCCGAAAACCTACTCCCAGTTTGCATTTGTTGGTGGCAAATATTGGGTTGTTCGATGGGATCTCGAGGTTTTGAGCAGCTACCGAGCTCTTTTGCCGCTCTGACAGCGGTCCCCCTAAACAGCTGGGGCGCTCCCAAAAGGGCCTCGCCTTCGAGGATGGAAGGAGTTGTCATCTCTTCCGCAGCGGAAGGCGGCGGAAGGCTGGCGGAAGGCGGCGGAGGTAAAACGAGGCCGCACAAGCCGGCCGAAGGCGGTGGAAGCAAAATACGAACCTGCGTTGATGTGTTCAGGGCTTCCCGAAGCCGCCATTCCTTGCGACCCGGTTGTGGTTCCAGGCAGTCGTGTGACAGCCGCGGAGCCCGATCGCGGCCCGAAGATTGTGCGATTTGATTTGTTCAAGCCGTTGGAGGTCTGGGATCGAGTGCCCCCGCCCTCCGCGCCCAGGACCTCAACCAGCGGGCCGTGTACAAGAAAGACTCCCAGGCCGACGCTCCCTGGGCGGGGCTGGCTCCTCGTCCGGCGCGCGCCCTTCCGCCAGGCCCCTGCCCGCTTCTCCGCCAAGCGGACAGCGGGCAGTCGCAGACGGCAGCAGGCAGCAGCCAAAGCTGCAAGCGACTCGAGCAGCAGCGCTTCCCGCTGTGCTCGGCAGCGAAGTGTTGTGGCCCCGGGGCCGCGGGCCCAGGCTATGTAACGGGGCATCGCAGCCGTGGACCGCGGAGGAGGATTGGGTTTTGCAGCGATCGGTGGCTGGGTTTTGGTTGCGCCCCGCATGGCGGCGCCCGGTTTCGGTCCCGTTGGTGATTTTTCCCCCTGGTGAATATCCCCCCCGCATCGCCGCAGGACGTGCAGGTAGGGCGACGGGCAGGGCATGTCGTTGGTGGGGCGCCTTGCAAATTGATGAAATGTGTGAGAAAGGTCAGACAGACGGGGGATGTGTGTCACATTTGCGTTATCGCCTCGATACAGCATCCGTGCTGCTTGAACGGCTTGAACGTAGCACTATGTGTGATGACGCATGACGCTTGGGGAACCTCCAAGGTGGCCATAACATGTGACATCTCTCATCTCGATTCAGTGAGAAGCTGGCTTGGGCTCATGTGGGGCCGTCACGCTGCCCTCCTGGGACCTTCTGGGCGCTCTCTTGGGCCGTCTTGGGTCCCTTAGCTCGTATTGGGAGTCGCTTCGTAGAGCCCTCTCGGGCTCTCTCGGGCTCTCTTGGGCAGTCTTGGGGCCTTCTTGCGGCGGTCCCAGGCCGCGCATGGGAACCTCATAGAACCGTCGTGGGGCTCGTGCGGGCTCTCTTGGTCTCCAGCTGGGTCATCCTGGAGCCATCTTGAATCGATAAGCGATGGAAACCCAGCTTCTCCACACGCATATAGATGTCTGCAGTTTGCTTGAATGACTCCTGCCTTCTTGGAGAGACTCTTGGTATTCCCTCTGGTGACTTAGAAGCCTCTTCGAACTCTTGTGGCCTCGTTGGCCAGGACATTGCCCCGCCTCCCCCCTCCGAGAAAGAGTGCAGCCGCTGGGTCCAAGCATGTTCAGGCCGTGTCTGACGAGTCTGGGTGGCCAGGCAAGCTGCGTCGCAGTGCCCGCTGTGTGTGTTGAGAGATGTGGGAGGCGTTTCGGAAGGTGCGGATGGTGTGTGAAAACGTTGGGTCGAAGCATGATGCACTTCTCGTCCTCTCCAGGCGGAATCGTCAGACTCCTGGTCAGCAACGTCCTTCACCACCCACCAAACCACCCCAACCCAGATTGACCCTCGATTTCCAGTGGTGGGGGGGTCGGGAAGCATCGACAAAAACACATGTGGAACCCTTACCCCACCCCCAACCCGAAATTCGGGTCAAACTCGGGTCTTCGGGTTGGGTTGGGGTGGTCTGGTGGGTAGTCTGCTTCACCCCCCCCTCCTGACCGAGATTCTGGGGTTCAGGCGGAATTGTTAAACCCCTGGTCAACAACGTCCTGGACTGGGAGGCCCCGAGTTCGGCCACCCGTTCGCGTCCTGAGGCCCGTGGCGGCCCCCGGGGCCTCCACCGCTGCGGGGGGGCGCAGCCTCGCTTCGCGCGAGTGCGCGCGGGACGCGGCGACAGAGGAGGAGGGGGGCGAAGGATGAGAGAAGGAGGAGGAGGAGGAGGAGGAGGAGGAGGAGGAGGAGGTGGAGGAGGAGGAGGAGGAGGAGGAGGAGGAGGGAGGAGGAGGAGGAGGAGGAGGAGGAGGAGAGAGAGGAGGAGGAGGAGGAGGAGGAGGAGGAGGAGGAGGAGGAGGGAGGAGGAGGAGGAGAGGAGGAGGAGGAAGAAGGAGGAAGGAGGAGGAGGAGAAGGAGGAGGAGGAGGAGGAGGAGGAGGAGGAGGAGGAGGAGGAGGAGGAGGAGGAGGAGGAGGAGGGAGGAGGAGGAGGAGGAGGAGGAGGATGAGGAGGAGGAGGAGGGAGGGAGGAGGGAGGGAGGGAGAAGGGAGGAGGGAGGTGCGACAGTTATATACACCTATGCCTTAGTGTGTATGCACACCTGTACAGCGGTGTGTAGATATGTATGGGTACACACACATCTATAGGTGCATAAATATAGATATGTGCATATGCAATCATTGAGCAGAGCACGCCAAACAAACAACGTGTGCATGTAAGCGTAGGGGTACGGGGCTCCAATGTGGACGGTTGGAATGTCGAGTTGTATTGTAAGGAATGCGTTTGGCTCGGGTGTTTCTCGGTGCTATCAGGGTTATCCCGTGGGTGGGGGAATTTGGGGAAACGAGTTGGCGAGGAGCTCTACCTCATGGTGAACGACTGCGGCCAGTTCCAGATCAACAGCAAGGTACTTGCCCACTGCTGCACTAGCGGCCAACCTGATTAGGAGGAGGAGGCGGCAGAGGGCAAGGAGGGAGGACGTGTCACAGCTCCATCCTCCTCTTCCACTATTCCCTCCTCCTCCTCCTCCTCCTCCTCCTCCTCCTCCTCCTCCTCCTCCCCTTCATCCTCCCCCACCTCCCTCCTCTTCTTCCCCCAATTCCCTCCGCCCCTTGCCCCTCCCTCCGCACCATCCCCCCCATCCTCATCGCCGCCTCTCGACGCTCAGCTGCTTTTCGGTCCCCCTTCACGGCCACTATAGAAGCGACTGTTTGGGACCGTCTCCAGAAGCCGATGCTGCCCGTCGACCTTCCCAGGCGTCGGACGGTCTCGCCCACGCTCCTGAAGTCCCCTGTGCCGGAGCTGGCGCCAGGCCGCGCTCAAAATTCTCAACGGAGGGTGGGCGACTTCCTACCACGTGCACGTGCTCGACCCTCGGCCCTGCGCCTGTGGCTGCTGGCACGCACAAGACCCCTTCCCTCACCACTTGTCCTGCCCCGTCCTCCGTCGCCTCATCTGCTCCCCTGATCTGCCGCCCCTGTATCGGGGGTGGACAGACCTCCTACCCTGACCCGTCGATAAAGGAATTGGCCGTTTTCGGTTCGCGAGAGGGCGTCGCGGCCGTCATTTTTGCGGGCCCAGGTCCGTGGTTTCGGTCCCAGGCCGTTTTCACTAACGGGAGGTCTACTAAAGGGAGGTTTGTCCACCGCCGACTGTAGAATACTCTTGCCGAGTGGGCGTTCGGACCATCGCTGCGTGCGTACCCGCACGATCCGTCAAGTGACCACTCGCTGATGATGAGCACGGTGAAGCAGGCCACATTTGCCTTTCGCGTTAGCAGCGAAGTGTAGTTTGCTGCAGCTGCCCGTCCTGAGACATGGGATTCGGCGACCAGCGCAGCCCGTGCCCTCCTTTTTCGCTAATTCTCTCGCGGCCCGCCTTCGTCTTTCAGAGCAGCGGCGACTTCGGAGACACGCGGCGCCCCCCAGGGTGTTGTCACTCTTCCTCCTCCATCCTCCTGCTGCTGATGCCTCGTCCTCCTCCTCCTCCTCCTCCTCCTCCTCCTCCTCCTCCTCCTCATCCTTGGCGGCGTTCGCTCCTGGTCCTCCTCCCCCTCCTCCTGCTCCTCCTCCTCCTCCTCCTCCTCCTCCTCCTCCTCCTCCTCCTCCCCCTCTTCCCCGATTCCTTTTCATTATCAAGAACTCTTCCCTGTCGCATCCCGGGGTCAGTTGGAAGGGTGGGCCGGGCGTTTCGCCAGAGACTTCCTTACCCTTTCTGATCCTGAAGCTTGAAATTAGAAACATATGTACAGATGGAGGGCGGGCGGTTATCAAATTGTGACTCTCGCCTTAGCGCTGCGCACATTCGATTTACAACATTTGCAAGCAATTCACGGATTGAGAGCGGGTCGCTTCCCAAATGTGGCTCTGGATTTAGCGCCGTGCACACTCGGTTGGAACATTTGCAAGGGTTTCGTAAATTGAGGACAGGTTGTTTCCAACATGTGGTTTCCGCGTTAGCGCCGCGCATATTCGATTTGAACATGTGTAGGAGTTTCACGGATTGAGGGCAGGTCATTTACAAATGTTGTTCTCGCCTCAGCGCCATGCGTAGTCGAATTAATCATTTGCACGAGCTTCACGGATGGAGAGCGGCTTCTTTTCAAAATGTGGTTGTCGCCTTAGCTCCGCGCACATTCGACATAACACCTAGCAAGAGTTTGACGGTTTCTCATGGGTCACGTACCAGCAATTGTGGTATGGAACGGTTCAGGGCTACCAGGGCGCAGCAGTCACGTTGCTTCGTGGCGTCGAAGTCCTAGGAATGGTGTTCTGGCACGACACAAGCCCGTCAAAACACAACCCTCATGTTGTTTCGTGGCGTTGAAGTCCCGAGAATTGTGTTTTGGCACGCTGCTGGATGTTCAAACGGTTGTCTCCCAACGGGGTACTCCCCTCAGTGGAAATGAATCCCTGTAGGAGCCTATGGCGAGGGAGTTTGGAAGGAGGGTTTACTCAAACATCGTTGATGAGTCTTGGGTATGCGCTGGTTCTCCTCATCCTCGTCCTCCTCCTCCTCTTCTCCTCCTCCTCCTTCTCCTCCTCCTCCTCCTCCTCCTCCTCCTCCTCCTCCTCCCCCCCCCTTTCGCTCGCAACGCTGAGCCTCCTCCTTTTTCCCAACCATGAAGGCGGTTCAACGGGTTTGAGTTCGTAGCTGTCCCTGCCTGCTCTTAGTCCTCCCACCTCCTCATAGCTCCCCCCAGCGCTTTCGTCACCTCTCTCACCCACCCGTTCCCCCAGCTTTCTTTTTATTGTCATCGTTGTTGTCCACGTCCGCGTCGTCCTCCTCCTCCCCTCTCCACACCTCGTCCATCCTCCTCCTCTATATGTAACTCCTCTCTTTCGCACCCCGAGGCCGGTCGAAGGAGCGTGCGGGCGTTTCGCTTGAGATTGCTTCTCCGATTCTGATTTAAAACGTTTGAGATGTGTTTTTGCTTCACGGATGGGGCGAGCGGCCCGCTTTCAAAATGTGGCCCTCGCCTTAGCGCCAAGAGCTTCACGGGTGGACGGCGGTCAGCTTCCAATATGGTGTTCTCGCTCCAGCGCCGCGCACGTTCGGTTTAATGAGCTGCAGGAGCTTCCCGGATGGAGGGCGGCCCGTTTTCAACATGTGGTTCTCACGTCAGCGCCGCGCACATCCGATGAAACTCACTGCAAGAGCTTCACGGATTGGGGGCGGGTGTTATCCAAAATGCGTTTTTTTTTGCATCAGTGCCACGCACACTCGTTTCAAACATTCGCACGCGTTTCACGGATGTAGATCGGCTCAGTTTCAAGATGTGGTTCTCGCCTTAGCACCACGAACATTCGACGTAATTCATTGCAAGAGTGACACTGGTTCCCATGGGTAACGTCCCAGAAATGGCGTTGTGGAGCGATTCAAGACTTTCAGGGCGCAACAGTCACGTTGATTCGCGGCGTCGAAGTCCCGGGAATGGTGTTCTGGCACGATTCAGGACCACATCGTTGACGAGTCCTGGGTTACACTAGTTCTCCTCCTCATCCTCCTCCTCCTCCCTCTCCTTCTCCTCCTCCTCCTTCTCCTCCTTCTCTCGCTCGCAACGTTGAGCCTCCTCCTTCTTTCTCACCGTTAAGGCGATTCAACAGGATTGAGTTCGTAGCTATCCCTACCTGCTCCTCGTGATCCCCATCTAGTGTCCTCCCTCCCCCACTCGCTCCCTGAGAATCTGTGCCGACGCCCACAGAACCGGGTTCATGGCAGAAGCCTGGATCGTCCCCACGTCCTCAGCTCTCGCCTCCTCTTCCCGCCCGCCCCCCGCGCTTTGCTCCTCTCTCTCAGCCACCCCTTCCCCCATACTCCCCTTTGTTTGGTCATCGTTGTGGTCCGCGTCCGCGTCCTCCTTCTCCACCTCCTCCCCCCCCTCCGCCCAATCCATCCCTCTCCCCTAGAAGTTGTGAAGAGTGCACTCCCCTGCCCCTCTGCCGCCCGTGCCACCATGTGTGTATGTTGTACACGCTTGTCTTGTTTTGTGGCATGCACGCTGCCCGCCGCTGTTTTGGCCCTAGTCCTAGGGCCCTGGGACGCACCCGCAGTTGGACTGCCGCGCGGTCTTTGCTGAAAACAACTGCACTGACATTGGTAGCGGAGCTAGTAAGCTCCAGCGGACGCACTGCGTGCTCTGCTTCGGTGGTTGTGACCACCCGCGTGGGCCGCCATGGCCGCCAGCCAAGACGGCTCAGACGTGGAGGCTGCGTCCTCCGCAGGCACAGGTCCCCCGGACCTGCATGCAGTCCTGCGCGTGATGGCCGAGACCCAGCGGGAGCTCTTGGCCTTGCATCGGGATCGTGGCGACGGCGGTCCCAGACGTACACGTCTACTGCTGTCGCAGGTGAGGCTCCCAGAGTTCGATGGTGGAGTCGGTACGAGTACTAAGAAGTACCGAGAGTGGCGCAAGGAGGTTGAAGTCATCCGCAACCTCAATCAGCTCTCAGACGTGGAGCTGGGCCTGATCATCTACAGTCAAGTGACAGGTCGAGCCAAAGAGCTCATCGAGGTGCTTGACGCGTCGGACCTCCGACGCGAGGAGACGCTCGAGACCATCTTTGCTATCTACGACGACGCCTTCGAGAAGATGGATCACGAGCGCCTCGATCAGGTGCATCAGGATTGGGAGCGAGCACGCCGTCGAGCTGGGCAGCCGATCATGGATTGGACCACGTACCTGCGCAAGAAGCGCATGGAGTTGCAGCTCGAGGATCCCACATCAGCGATCAGCGATCGCGCATTGGCAAGCAAGATGCTTCGTGGCGCTGGACTGTCGCAGAAGGAGCGAGCGCAGGTGCTCTTCAACTGTGGCGGCATCTACGACTCGAAGCGGATGGAGGTCGTGCTGAAGGCAGCCTATTCGAAGGTGCACGACACCGAGAAGCGCTCAGTGCTCCCTCGCCGCTCGCCGTTTGCGGCGCAGCGTGAGCACGGGCGCTCCTCTGGGAGCGCGGGCGGTCGCTATCCGCGCCCTCCCATGGCTCGTGGGCCATGCGTGCTGCGAGGACGCCCTGGCCAGCACGTACACGAGGTAGAGAACGGCGAAGACTACGATGAACACCACGGCGACCTCGAGGAGGCGCAGCGTGACGAAGATGAACCAGACGACCAGGACGAAGGAGATCTCGGAGGGGCCGAGGGCCCCTTCTTCGAGGAAGGCGCCGAGGTCGAAGAGGAGCTGGCGTCGGACAACGACGGGCCTGACGACGAGGAGTACGAGGCACCGGAGGATCTTCAGGAAGCGTTCTTGGCCGGCTGGAGGGCCAAGCAGAAGACGGCGGCACAGCGTCAGAAGCGCGGGTTTGTTGCTCCTCGGCAGCGGGACCCCAAGAAGATCAACGCTAGCGGCTCCTTCCAGGCTGGTCGGAAGCCGACAGACCAGCGCAAGGCTAACAGCCGGTG